GGAGAAGAAAATAGTGGATGACGCCGGATGTGTTGATTTGGGTGCACTTGTGTGGTGTCCAAACAGAGACATCCAGCAGGAAGTGAGCGACTCGGGTCTGAGTCCGCGGAGAGCCGTGGGCCCTGTGTGTGGTTTGGGGAATCATTTACTTGTGGATGACGATCTGGGCCAAAGGAATGGATGGGAGAGGGAAAATGAAGATGTTAAACGTAGGCGCTGAAGAACTCGAACCTTTAAATTTAGGTAGAGTCGGGGGAGGAACAGCAAGCAAGGGTGGCTGAGTAAGAGCATCCAGAGAAATAAGAGGTGTCACGCAGAGGTTCAGAGTGTTTTAAGAGCAAAACCTGCTTCTTGAATCCTGCCGAAAGTTTGGGCAAGATACAGGCAGAAAAAGTTTCGAGTGTGTGTGTTTTTTAACTTAACAATCCTGAGGTCAGTGATTATATTAACAAGTCATTTTGATGGAGTGATAGAGACAGATTGAGTCAGCTGAGTGCCAAACCTGGGGACCGGAGAGCTTACACAGCTCTGGTTGTGCGAGGGAGAGAAGGAGGGGCAGGAGGGGAGGTGGGGGGCGGTGGGGGCCAGGCTGGTGGTAGGCAGAGGGCACCGACTTTGTTCGGATGGTGCGGGCAGAGCCCCAGAGCCCGAAAAATCGAGTTTCCCGTTCTGGAGGGCGGGGCAGCCTGGGTTCCGAGGGGCTGCTCCTACATCAGGAGCAGGTCCGATGCAGAGTTAGGTAAAAGGTAGAACACCACGGTCAAGGGTAATGTCAGTTCTCACCATCATCACCCTGGAATCAGGGAAACCAGGCCAGCGCTCTGCCATTCTTCTAGGAGATTCTTGTTATGACAAAAAAACAAAACAAAAAAGACAAATGAAGGTACTTAACTGACCTCAAGGAGCAGTATTGAGTAATGCAAAACAAAATTCTTTCATTTTTCTAAAAAGTCACTAAGGCAGAATTGCCTGTTTGAGAACTTTCCTATGAAGAGTCCGGTTAATGTGCCTGAAGCTGTGTTATACCCCACGGCCCACGTGAAAGACAGGTTCAAACGCTTTGTTGGAGAATGTGGTGGACTTGCACTTGAAACCTCCAGGCTCTCTTTAAAGAGGCGTAACGTTCGGCTAGAGGGCCAGTCTTCCCTTCTGGGGTCACACGGAGAGACCCTGCCATGCCCACAGCAGAGCACGTTGGGGGTGATCCCACCGCCGCTGTCGGGCTGTTCTGGGTACAATAGTTTGCTTCCTTTCCTCTTTTCTCAAACCTTCACAAAAAAAAGTAGAGAGAGAAAAACAAATCATCTCTCTTTCCATATTGATATTTAAGGTGGAATAAGTGTGGTTGTAAAAGCATCAGTCGACACAGCATCGACTGGCCAAGCTAAGTATTTGGGTTGGAAATCATGTCTCCCCCAACGGCTTAAAAACAGGGAGGGTCTCTGTGAATGGTAGGTGGCTCCTTCTTGCTGGAAAGGAAGGTCTCTCTGCATTTCTTCCTACGTTTCTGAGCAGTAAAACGAGGTCTAGTTTCATATGTACGTGGGGGCCAAATACACACACACACACACAAACACATACATGCAAAGTGGGTTTGCAGTGTGAATGCAGTGCACACACATCAGTGAGTGTAAATGTGTGTTAAAGTGCCATCAAAGCTCTTGAGAGTAGCGCACTCTCACTAGCCGGCCTGGGTATATTCACCCAGCGAGGCGCCCAGAGCCCTGGCAGCTGTTGGGACCAGCCCTGGGCTTGGGATGCACAGCCAGGGGAGCGCCGGTCTCTGCTCCGTCGTGCGGAGTCCTTCTCTTGTCTCAAGTGTTTCTTTACTGTCCCCCGTCTTAACCGGGGGGAATTAAAAAAAGATTCTTAAATTCGACACCTGTAATTTCATACTCTCTCAGTGTTCAGATCTACTCTAATTAGCGTAGAAATACGTATTCAGACCAAAGTGTTAAAGCAGACACTTTGAAGAATCAGGTTCCCAGGCCACCACTTCCTTCCTTTAGAAGGATCAGCAGGGGGGCCGTGAGTGAGCGGAGGGTCTTCCTCCAGGGAGAGAAGCAGCGCCGAGCCTCTAAAAACATAACAACGTGTCACAGTTCGTGGAGAAGGTAGTTCCGGAAACTGGGGGGAGAGGTGGATCTTTTGCAACAGCTCTGATTTATTTCAAAGAAACTTTGAACTTATTCTAGGCATCTCTCTCTCCTTCTAAAGTCACCTGATTAATAGGCGTCGTTCATGATACCTCGTACAGCTCTTTTGAAACGTTCATTTTCACTCCGCCTTCTTTGTTATGTAATTGTTTATCTTTACTGTCGACTTTCCCACCAGAGAGTAGGCTGCCTCTAACGGCAGGTTTATACTGTTTCATTCCACACTGTAAAGTCAGCAGGGGCTCAGGTAAGGCATTCCACAAATGTCCACTCAGCCGGGTCAAGCCAACACAGTCTCATCTGGAGTATCACGGCAGCAGTGTTATTCCGCTTCTCCCTGCCTCTGTTCACGTCACTGCTGAAGCAGTCATTCTAATGGGAAATGCTGTAACTTCCTATTTCCTAACCATCAATGAAGGGCACCTCAAGGAGAAAAGTCAAGTTCAAGCAAGGTACTTCAGGCCTGTCCAGTTCGGGTGCAACTCCCAGACCCTGACTCCAGCTGCCTCTCGTCCCGTGGCTCCCAGGCCCTTGGGCACCCAGCTGGCCAGACTCGCCCGCCTCCCTCACCTCTGCGCCTCGCCGTCCTTCTCTCTGCTCAGAACGACGGCCCATCTCCGTGGCTATCAGGCAGGCTCCACCTGTAGTTCAGGTTTTCTCTTTTATACGATCGACCATGACTGTTCCAGGTATAGAACTTGTAATTTGGCGTACAGGTTAAAAGGGAGGGCAAACGAATCAGCCCAACGGGTTACAGTTTAACTGCGTTGAACTCTAGCTCCACCATTCATGAGCTGTGTGTCTGGACAAATCATTTCCGTCTCCCCGTCCTTCAAAACGCTTAACTGCCCTGGTATCCACTCAGAGGATGAGTGTCGGACTCAAAGGCCAGTGCCTGGCACACGGCGGGTCTGCTTCACTTTAGGTGCCATCGTCACTGTCCCTGCTCTTGTGTGTGTACCCCCGGACCCGACAGCCCCTTGCGTCCAGGCTATGAGAGCTGTCTTTGGACCCGACACCTGGCATGTGGCAGATGTGAGCACTCTGAGTGAGTGAAACAATGACTGTTCCAGAACAGTGGGGTTGGCATGTTACAGTGCAGCTTCTTGACCTTGTGTTTCTGACTCTCCGTGTTTAAAGAGGCTCCTCCGTAACAACCCCCCACTTGCCTCTTCCTCTCCTGCTTCTTTCCACAGCCTCTGAACGGCTCGGTTTGCAGCCCCGGGATGTTTTCAGTCTGTGGGTTTTTTTCTTTTGTTGTTTTAATCAGAAGTTGTTTGTGCCAAGTCCTTCCTTGGCTTCGGTATTTGCTTCTATCACATCTTTCTGGATACTTCATCCTAAAAAGGGTACCTACAGAAATGCGCTGTTTTTCACTCTTCATAAGTGAGTGTCTCTTAAATCTTCAGGAAATGCCATTGAAGATGTCCCGCCGGTTTGCACTCCTCCACTGTTTTGACGGAGAGCCATCGGTTACTCTGGCCACTGTCCCCCCACCCGGCCTGGCACCTTCTGGGCTTCATTGCCCTCGGTCCCCAGCAGCTGCACTGTTGTGTGTTCAGGTGCAGTTTTCTTTTTTTTTTTTTTAATTTTAGAGCCAGTTCTTTTTTTTTTTTTTTTTAATTTTATTTATTTATCTTTAGAGGGGAAGGGAAGGAGAGAGGGAGAGAAACATCAGTGTATGGTTGCCTTTTGTGCGTCCCCTGCTGGGAACTGGCCTGCAGGGAACTGGCCTGCAACCCCAGTCTGTGCCCTGACTGGGATTCGAACCGCGATCGTCTGGTTCACAGGCCCGCGCTCAATCCACTGAGCTACACCAGCCAGGGCCAGGTGCAGTTTTCTTTGTGTTTGTTTTGCTGGAGGGTCACTGAGCCTTTTAATTATGTGAGTTTAATGTTTGTTTGCCAGTTCGGGGACCCTTTGGCTCTTCTCAGTTATTTTTTTCCTGCCACATTTTCTCTTCTGTGACACTGATTACATGTACGTTAGACCTTTTGACACTGTCCCACAAGAGTGACCTTTTAATGTAAATCTGACCTTTTTACCGTCCTACCCACGACCTTCCAGGAGCTTCGCGTTACAGGTGGCACGCAGCCCAGCTGGCTCCTTTGGGTGACCGCACCCGTTGCCTCCTCTCAGGCTTTCTGTCACCCCCTCTACACACGCACGGTTTGGACCCTGGTCTCTTGTAGTAGCCTAAATGGAGGTGTGCTCCACATACCATGGTGCTCCCTCGTGTAAAACGTACGGTTCAGTGGCTTTTAGCATGTTCACAGACACGTGTAACCGGCCCCACCGTCGGTTGTACCTGCGTCTGCCCACACTGTGTCCTGGTGCCGGGCACGGTGTCCCCAGGCAGATGTGTTTATTAGCTCTCGGGTGGTCTAAGCATCGCCGTCAGTAAGACACAAGGACGGTTATATGGCTGCGTTCACTTGTGGAGGCGTGCCTGAGGGCTGCGCTTTCTGAGCGCGCTCGATGCAGTGTACCCCGTGTTTTCAGAGCTGCTGCCGGAAGTTACAGAAAAGACCCCCTTTCGATGTGATGAGCGCAAGTCCTGTTTGCGTCCCCTGAGAGACACGGGTGGTCTCTCACTGACCCGATGGTTGCTGAGGAGTGAAAAGCCTCTCAGAAATGCTGCTTTTCTATTTTCAAAAGTACCCTGAACATTGTTTATTGATTTGAATCTTTAAAATAGACTGTAGAGTCTCCAGCGGGCGTCCTGTTCACCAGTTTTCAGCAGTGGTTATTCGTGGGATCCTGCGCGTCCTTCCCTCTGGGCGCCGTTGGTGCGAGGGTCGGGTCTGGGCCTGGTTAACCTGCGTCGCCCCCTCTCCTCTCCAGGCGTTGATGCGGCCGGGAAGAATCGACAGAATCATCTACGTGCCTTTACCAGATGCGGCCACGCGGAGGGAGATCTTTAACCTGCAGTTTCACTCCATGCCAGTCGGTCAGGATGTGGATCTGAATGAACTCGTCCTCCAGACGGACACCTACTCGGGAGCAGAGGTGAGGATGCTCTGAAGAGACGGTGGGGGGCAAAGTGGGGGCTTGGGGTGGCAGCCGCTTCAGGAAATTGCGTGTTACACAGTCTCGAGACAGGAAGGGCACCGAGTGACAGGCGGTCACTCAGAGAAACCGCATTTTACCTGACCTCCGTTACATCTCAGTTCTCTACACCTGGCTCCTGCCAGTGCCCAAACGCAGTCTTCAGAGAGGCAGCGTGACCTGGGGCAAGAGCACGGGGCTGGAAACAGAGGTCCTCTTAGGAGCCTCTTGACACAGCAGCTTCTGAACACACACACCCTCTGAACTTCGATCCCTTGACCCATCGGATGGAAGCGATGTGCCACCACCTCGGTCATTTTCTCACTGAGATCGTAAAAGTGAAGTTAAGGTTTCGGGTATAATGAGAGCACTGTGGAGTTCAAAAGTCTTGCCAAAGAGAGTATGTTATTATCCTTTATCTTTTTGGAAAAGTATCTCAGTCTACTTGTGGATTAACCAAAAAAAAATTCTCTTACAAAAACTGCAAAGGGGACATGTCTGCCCTCAACTGAGAAAATGCTCAATAATAGCAGCAGGAACTCTGAAAATCTGAAAGTTTTAAGTAGGGCAGAGAAACATTTTCTTTTGTCCTTACCAACTATTTACTTGGGCTATTTTTATTTATAAAATTCAATTCCATTAAAATCATTGTGCATCTTTCTACAAGCATTTAAGAAAAGAACAAACTTAACACCAAAATGTCTCTGAATACCACTGATACAGATTTGTACTGGGAAACTGGTATTTTTTAAGCAAAATATCATAGATTGTTTTCATTCTGAGTTATCTAGCAGACCGGAACTATGAGTTCTGTTTTGCTTGCTACTGGGTTTATCGGTCTCTGTGAACCCAGAGATGAACATGGCACCGATTGTGAGTGGTACCCAGAGAGTTCGAAGGTCACTTTACCCGTGGAATTGAACTTCGTCTGTCACACTGTCGTAGCTAATAGCAACTGCCAGTTAGAGTCCAAATACACTCATTGTTCTGCCTGAGGTACGAACTGTGTGTATTGGATTTCCCCACTTAGGGCTTTCCGTTGCGGTGGGTGGAGGGAAAGCCACGTAGGAAGTAGCCTGAGATGCAGATGGAGTGCACTTTAAAGTCCTGCTAAACAGTCGTTCTAGCGAGCATCTCCTTGGGAGGACCATCCGTCACGTTGAAGTGGACACGGAGCCGCTGCTAATGTAGCATCCACCAATGCGAGCAACAAATGGTCAGAAACTTTCAGGAGTTTAAGATGGAATTTTATTGGCCAAAGCTTTACCTGCGCAGGGGCGAACTCTCGAGGTGTCCGGAGACACCGTGCCCAGAGGCTGCAAATGAGAGTCGTGCCTGGCGCTTACAGCCTAGGGTTTTTATTGGGGTGAGCAAGCAAGCAAATACAGAAGCAGACGTAGCTGTTAGCAATTGGCTATCTCAGGGAACACACATGGCTATGCTTTCTGCTTGCAGCAGTGGATACTTCTCTCCAAAGACAAAGTCATGCACAGGCGGTTATCTTGTTCAGCACTCTTTGTACTTTCTGTATTTTCTATCTTCCTTGCTGAGTCTGGAGCCTGCCTCGGATTCCTTGTTCCTCTTGGCTTCTTTTATCTAATTCCGGGCCTAACACTGACGGGCTGCCGCTGTGTTTTGGGAGTTCACTTTTGGATGTGAGACCAAGGCCTGGCATCATGAGCGTGATCTGTCAGGTTGGCAAGGAAAAGACGCCATAAATCTTTCACTCGACCTGAGTGAGGAGGAAGAGCAGTTAGCAAGGTGTAAAGGTGCCGTTCTCACTTGGAAGTAATTTAGGGCGGTAACAAGGAAGAGCAAAACAAAAATCAAAGCCAGTGAGGTTCTGTCTGGCTGAGAGGAAAGAACTCCGGTGGTGCCAGGGATCACCGTACCAGCTTGCTGGTTCTTACATGGTACGCGCCTTATTTACTCTAAAACACGGGCACATTGGTTTCTGATTAATGTTTATATCAGATCTTCTAAACATAGTCACAGGAAAAGTAGCGGGAAATTCTGTTCATCCTCAGATTATGTTTCTTGTGTCCCATAATGCTTGGGTAGGGGAAGGGTATCCGCTGTGGTCCTAATTATGATCAGTACATTTCTACAACTTCATAGAAACTTTATTCCAGAGCTGTATCTTACCAGTTCTTTAAAGTCTTAAAATTAGTAAATAAGAAATGTAAGACAGATAACATGTAGCTTCAGATAAAATATAAGATCTCACACCCCACCACCACCCCCCCCCGCCATCACAGTGAAAATGGTGAGGTTGAGAGCTAAACTTAGTTTCGATCTTTGTTTAAATGGCGAAACGAGTCCAAAGCCAGGACCTTGGTCACCTGCCTCCTGCACACTCAGTGTGTTACCACTGATGTAACCAATTGACTTCCTCCCCAGGCCAAGGCCGTGCCTTCAGCAGAGAACCCCCTACATGTACATGTTTAACAAACACGTACTGAACTGGGAAAGGAATGGAGGGTTTTCAAAACCATATTTAGGTGCAGCAGCCCTTCCTTCTTGTGTGTCAAAGGGGAGCCCTCTCCCTTGGCGGAGGAGCGCCCTGCTGTGGGCCCAGCCTCTTCTCAGAGTTGGGGAGTCTCTCTGGTGGCACCTTTTGGTACAGAAATGAAACCCCAGACCAATTAATTGTCCTCACGGGAGAGTAGATTGGTGGACATTGTATAGAGGTAATTTATGTAAGTGCACCCTGTTAGGTGATGAAGCGGGATTGGGCCAGGTAAGGCAGAGATGAGGGAGTTGCTAACAGTCTGTGTTCCCAAACATAAAATGTTCATTTAACTGTGTGAGGGTTCTGGTTTTAGTTTTAACTTCAGTGTAGAGGGTGATCGGACTGGAGGTGAAGGGGCTGGGGAGGTATTTAAAACAGGACTTCTTTCCACCCTGTGCTCTGCTGTGCCCGGTGAGCCTCGTTCTGCAAAAGCTTCCACAGGCCCAGCATTTGCAGTAGCTCCTTACAGCCTTCTGAGTGGCTCCGAGGTCTTTCCCTGGGGAGGGCATCGGTCCAGAGACCTGCAGCGTCTCTGTAAACCCGGGAGAGCCCCCGGGGGAGTTGGCTGCCCGCTGGGGGGAGGGACACGGCCCCTGGGGAGCAGCCCTGGGGGCTGGCAGGCAGCATCTTCCAGCCAGGCCTGTGCCTGCCACCCCGCTGTGGCCAGGACCGCATTGTCTCTGGCATCTTGGCTGTAGCTCCCAGTTAATGGAAAAACATATTGCCATTTAAAAGCAGATGGGAATTTAGCTCAGGAGGAAATAATAAGTCTTTTTTAGTTGTAGCTATTGTTTGCTTTAGCTTTGATTTTTGTTTGAGTTATTTGTAGCAGATTCCACTCCATTTTTTCATTTGTTTTTTATCACATTATCCTAGTTACTTTAGGAAAACTGTTATCTTACCCACCGACAGGAAGCCAACAATCACAAACGAGTGCACAGGAAAGCCATGGCTGGGTTCCTCACCTGCACGCCCTGCGCTCAGGGCCAGGGAGGCCGGGGAGACACAGGGCTTCCTCTCTGGGTGGGATTTGCTGGCGTGGGAGCTGCAGGTTTGTTTGCATTGCAGGGGACCCTCCTTTAGTGCCCATGTCATTGAGTGAGACTGAGAATATAGTCACGCCAGGCGCCAACGACACATTTCATAAATAGTATAGGCAGCCACAGCAGTTCTTGTACATGGCGCGATTTCAGGGGCCCTCTTCCAAGACAGGCAGTAAAGTGGGAAAGAAAGCATTTTAATGTTGTAGTTGAGTTAACTTCTAATAGAATTGTAGCTCCTTTCAGGGTAGTTTCAGGCAGGTTACGGACTTCTTTGAAACCTCATTTTCCTCATTTGTAAACTATCCATGTGACTGAGGTGTTTTGAGGTTGAAATAAGATAAATGTCAAAGCCCCGAGACACAGTGCCCCACACAGGAGTGCGTTGTGGGCACCTCCGTCTTCATCGCTGCCCAGTCCCATCTCCACTCAGCATGCTGTTTGCTGCCCAAGCGTAGGGGGTTGTGGGTAACGCGGTTTCCATTGTCTTGGTAGCCAGATAATTTTCCTGAAAGTAAAGTGATCATTGAGTTTGCCTCTTACCCTTTTCTTCAAAATTTAAAAAAACCTACTTATGAATCTACTGTAGAAAGTCTTTTAAAAAGCAGTTTGTTACTTGAATGCATCGCACGCTAGGTTTTATGAAGCTTTCCCTCCCGTCATGTAAAGTCAGTCTGTGAGTATGCATCCCCATTTTACCGAAACGATGTGTCTCGCCCTGAATTCTGTTCTGTGGCCTGCACCTTCCTGTGGCTCCAGGTCACCGCACCGGGTCTACAGACTCTGGAAGGGCGCTGCTCCCGGGGCGGGAGCTGTTGCTGCTAATAAAAGGAGGGCCTTAGCTTTCTATCTCGATGATTACTTCTCTGACATCCGCTCTTTTCTCCCACTTGGTGAAAACAGAGGGCGCAATTGTAGCCACTCCGGCTGCCGGTGCTCTCCAGCACCAGTCTCAGACGATTTAAATCTGGATCAGTGTGCTGGAATCTGGCGTGGTTTGACCCCACGTGTGACCCCGCCAAACAATACCGGGCAGTAAAGATCCTGGAGCCGGACACCTCGTGGCCTCTGGGTGGCGCTGTCAGCGGGCGGCCGGATGGCGTTCTGTCTCCGGGTGAGTGGGAGGACTCACGCTCCTGGACTTCACCTGCTCCTCCTCGCCCCGGTCAGCGTCCTGCGCAAAGCGGCTGCCGCCAGCTGCCCTGCTGTTCCGATTTGAGATCTCACTCTTTGTAGTGCTTTACCTTAAAAATCTATATCCCGGAGTTTTAAGATAGTCTTTGTTAGTAAAACCTACGGAAATCACTGCTTTGTCTTTAAACCGCCGCCCACCCAGGAAGAGCCTCTCCTTCGAACTTCTTTACTCCAATATGTATTTCACTTGTTCAGCATTTAGCTGGCTTTTGTTT